AAGAGGGAAAAAGGATACGGCACGGTGGATTCCCGGGTGGTCGCCCACCCCAGTACTAACACCGCCTGACGCAGCTTAACTTCGCTGTTCGGATGGGAAGCGGTGCTTTCTGCGCAGTATGGCCGTATCCGATGGTCACTCACCTCTCTTCCGCCATCACCCAGGCACATCGCCAGGCACCACATGCAGTAGCGCTGACAGCATCTCCGTGAGCCCTGCTTCCATCAAGCCATGAACACCTCCGTTGAGCACACGGTTGTGATGCAAGGGGGTATTGTTTTCTCCAAGCTTGCTTCTGTGATCTGGGGAAGACACGGGAGGGGGGAGGGGGCTGGCTACTCCATGACGTCGAGAGACGGCGCTGCCTCACCCGCCGCCTGAGCAGCAGCGGCGGCAGCGGCGGCAGGAGCTTCCTCCATGTCGTCGGTCGGCTGCGGAAGCTTTCCTTCATCGGCGCCTTCCTCCTCCTTCGCGGCCTTCTCCTTCCGCTGCTCCTCTTCCTCTTCCTGGCGGAGCTCCTCCTCGAGGTGGTCGACTTCGACGTCGACGTCGTCGGCCGCCACGATGGGCTCCTCCTGCTCCTCCGCGACCTCGTTTCTGGCCTCCGCCCGGCCCTCCTCTTCCTCCTCCCCCTGGGAATGGGCGGGGGAGGAGCTGCTCCGGCGCTTCCTCCGCCCGCCCTCGGCCTCCTTGCCCTTCTTCTGCTTGTTGGCCAGGCTCGCCAGCCTCTGCCTCATCGAACCGCCGCCGCCAATCTTCTCCTTCTTCTCCCTCTTCCTCTTCTTCTTTCCGCCCTCGGCCTCCTTCCCTTCGCCCTGGCCCTCTTCCTCCTCTCCTCCGCCTTCTTCTTCTTCTCCGTCGCCTCGGCTCCTCCGCTGCCGCTTGCCTCCTCGGCTTTTCCGACGACCGCCGCCGCCGCTCTTCTCTTCTCCGTGGTCGTCGTTGCCGCCGGAGTCGCCCTCGGCCTCGTCGTCGCCGCTCTTGGGCAGCTCCCGGTCGTCGTCCTCCCCCTCCGCGTCGTCGTCGTCGTCGTCCAAGTCTGAGCCCGAGTAGAAGTCATCCTATCCCCCCCCCCATGTGAGACCAAACGATCGACAACCGCGTGGGCGTGCGTGTCGTGTCGTGTCGTTGGTCGTGTCGTGTCTGAGTGAGTGCGCGTGCGTACAGGCTTCCGCTTCTTCTTCTTGGGGGTGGTGGAGGAGCCGCTTCGCCTGCGTCGCTCGGAGGGTTCGTCGCCGTCGGCCGCGGCGCCGGACTGGCGGCGAGACGCGCCCTTCTTGGGCGTGGGTTCGCGCGGGGCGGGCGCCTCGCGCGAGGCCCATGTGGCCTGGAGCATCTCGAGGTGCTTCTTCTTGTCCTCGGCCATGCGCTGCAGGCGCGCCTTCTCGTCCTCGATGGCCTGCACCCTCTCCAGCTCGGCCTTGCGCCGCTTCTCCGCCTCTTCCGCGGCCGCCTGGCGCTGGGACTCGCGCTTGCGGGCGGTCTCGGTCTCGTCGGTCTCGGCTTGGGCCACCAGGGCCTCGAGGGTGGTGACGTAGGCGCGGCACTTGGCGGCGTGCTTCTCGGCCTGCTTGGGGTTGAAGTTGAGGCGCGCGTGGGGCGTCTTGGCCGGGATGGTGGCCAGGTGGGTGAAGGTGCGCTCGGCCACGCGCAGCTCGGCGAGGGCCGACTTCATCTCGCCGGCGAGCAGGCTCTTCTTCTCCGTCTTCTCCTTCTTCACCACCTGCCGCGCGTAGGCCTCCTGCGACAGGGCCAGGTTGAACCACAGCTGGTTGTTGTTGGGGCTGAGCCGCAGCGCCTTCAGCAGCACCTGCATACACGCGTTCCGTGACGTCAGCCCCCCCCCGCAATGTCACGTAACTATGTGCGGAATGTTGCATACCTGCTTGCATTCCTGCATGTGGCCGTACTCGAAGTAGGCCTTGGCGAGGAAGAGCATGACCTCGGGGTCCTTGTTGCCGAAGAACTTGCGGAGGCAGTTCTGGTACATCTTGATGGCGTTCACGAACTCGCCCTGCGCCAGGTAGACGTGGCCTAGGTTGAGCCACACGTCCGGCATGGTCGTGGTCGCCTCGCGGACTTTGATGAAGAAGTCCTTGGCCTCGTTGAGCTCGTTCCGCTCGGCCAGGATGATGCCCAGCCCGTTCGCGGCGTACATGTTGGCCGGATTCTTGAGCAGCACCCGCCAGTAGTGGTCCATCGCATGCTGCAAATACCTATATCCGCAACAATTTAGATACACACAGTAAATAGCAATAATAAAATGAAAAACAGATGAAATTAACAAGAAAAAGTGAGTCATAGCTGACCGAGCAAACGGTGGTGATTGTAACGGGCGGCGGGAACGGTGGCACGTACTTCTCGGCCTTGTCCTTCTTGTCGAACTTGGCGGCGTAGAAGATGTTGCCGAGAGCGAGGAGCACGTAGGGATCGCTGGGGCGATCTTGAGGATGTGTTCGAACTTCTTCTGGCCCGGCTGCCACTCCTCCTTCTGCAGGTGGAGGTTGCCCAGCAGGCACCAGGCCTCCGGGTGCGACTCGTTGATGGCGAACGTCTCTGCATAGAGAGAAGAGAGAGAGAGAGAGATTTGTTAGATCAGCAATAGAGTTGTCGCGTGATGGCGTCGTGTCGCCAGTGTGCTGCGCGTGTCGCGTAGCGTAGCGCTGGCCAAAAGGAAGAGAGCGAGAGCGAGAGCGAGAGAAAGAGAATGACTCGAACCTTTAAACCACTCGGAGGCCTCGAAGATGTGTCCCTTGTCCCGGGCCATGCAGCCCAGCCGCAAGTAGCAGTCCACGTAGTTGGGGTGCTCCTTGAGGATCGCTTTGTACAGACTGGCCGCCTGCTCCGACCTGTGTGATTGAATAGTTTTTTATATAAATATTTTTAATATGATATATTAAAATTATATTAAATATATATGTAACATGTACATAACTCACATCAGCATCCGCACACCACTGCACGCACACGCAGACACGACCACACACGACACACACACGCGCGCGAAATAGCGAGGCTAGAGGGTACCTGTGCTGGGCCTCATAGAGGCGACCGAGGTTGTAGAGGGTGGTGATGTCGAGTGCCTTGAATTCCTCCTCGGTGGCCCCGGATTCGGCGAGCGCGAGGCGGTAGGCCTGCTCGGCGCCCTCGACGTTGCCCAGCTGGTGTCGGAGCACGCCCACGTTGTTCCACAGCTCGATGGGCACGGGCTCGCCCTGGGCCTGGAGCAGGGTGGTGGCCTTTTCGTAGGCCTTGAGAGCCTCGGTGTAGTTCTTCTGGCGCTCGACCAGGTCGCCCAGCTCGACCCACGCCTCGGTGTCCTTCGGGTGCGTTTCGGTGATGCGGCGGAAGTGGTGGATGGCCTTGTCGCGCTTGCCCGTGTGTGCGTAGAGCGAGGCCAGGATCTTGAGGGTCTCGTAGTTGTCCGGGTACTTCTTGTTCACCACCTCGAACGACGCGATCGCCTTGGCCGTCTCGCCCTTGGCCAGGTACATCTGCCCGAGCCCGTAGTGCGCCAGCGTGTACTCCGGCCACATGTCCGTCGCCCTGCCATTATCGCACAGCGCACATGTCAGCTCACTCCAACACACACACGACACACACGACACACACCGGGCGAGGCGAAATTACTGATAGTAGCAGGTGAAGGCCTTCTCGTAGTCCTCCTGGGCGTGGTAGGCGCGCGCAAAGTGGAAGAAGCTCTCGGCCTTGATCTCGCGCACGGTGGTGTTGTTGAAGGCGGCCTGGGCCAAGTGGATGGTCTTCTTGTACTCCTTCTTGTAGAAGAAGTGGTTGGCCAGGTGGTTGAGCACGAACGAGTTCGACGGGTCGGCGTCATAGGCCTGCTTGAGGAGCGACATGGCGCGGTGTACGGCCTTGGGCTTGGCCGTGTTGAGCTCGAGCACGGCCAGGGCGGCCAACGCGGGCACGTTGTCGGGCTCGAGCACGAGCACGCGCTCAAAGGCCTTGCGGGCGAGCTCCAGCCGGTTGAGGCGGTAGTGGCAGAAGGCCAGGCCCAGCCGCACCGCACCCGGGCACGACGGGTTGAGCTCCAGCACCTTCCGGTAGTACCCGAACGCCTCCTCGTAGTTCTTCTTGTTGTACGCGATGCACGCCTGACATCATAACAACAATAAATATAAATCATTATAAATAAACAAAAAACAAACAAACAAACAATTACGGTCACAACGGATGTTGGTTGGTTGGTTGCGCAAAGTACCTTGCCGAGGAGGGCCGGGGCGTTGGCTGCGTTGCCATCGAGCACGGTGTCGAAGTACTTGTCGGCTCGATCAGCCGAGCCTTTGCATAGCAGCAGCACACCTACATGTGCACCCGCACCCCCTCGCGTTGTTTAGCCAACAACAACACTACCAGCAACCAACAAGAACAGTGTGCACAATAGCGCAGCGTGTGCGTGAGGCACGGTGGCGATGGAGACAGCACCTTTGCCGACCCAGGTCATCTCCTGCTGCACGTCGATCTTGTCGGCCTTGTTGTAGTTGTTGGTAGCCAGATCGTAGAACTGGTCGCGCTGGGCGTCCTTGGACTTGACGGCGAGTTTGATGTAGTAGCCGGCCAACACGTTGAGGATGGCAATGCGCTGCCGCTTCGACTCCTCGTCCATGTACCGCGGTACATGCTCCAGACCTGCATCATCACCGCCATCACCGACCCCCGTCGTCATTCACACATAGCCTTGGTGCCGGCCGCGGCGCTACAAAGTACAACAAGGGCGGTTGTACGTACTCTCATCTGAGCCCTCGTCGAGGATGAGCTTGAAGTTTTCAGGCATGCCCTGTTTGTAGTACTCCACCTAAAAAAAAGACAGCAACCATGAAGTGGGTTCAGAATCGTGTAGAAGATTATTTGGGGGGGGGTGCGATGAACAAGAGGATTCGGTGTGGGGAGGTACAGCAAATTTGAGCCAAACGTCGAGCGGGGCGAGCTCGGCCTTGAGGATATCCACGATGTCGTTGGCATCTTTAGGCAGCTCACTCACATTGACGCGCACGCACTCATCGGATCCATGCACTGGAATGAGAATCGCTTCCTCGGTATCGCCTTGCGCTCCTCCCTCCTCGTGATCGGGATGGAACACATCCATCTCGTCGCTGCCGTCACGACCGTAGCTGCTGTCGAGGTCCATCCCAGCAGCCTTGCCGTCCATCGCAACAAAGATCGACGTGCTTTTTTCACAGCCCAAGTCTTTGTTTTTTTGGAATTTTCTTGTTTGGTGTTTCAAATATGTTTGGTAACGCCGAAACGGAAAAACAACAATCACCACAGCAGCATCATCAAATCAACAGCAGACAGCAGCAAATGGCGACAGTGATTCATGCAACTGAGGTGGCCCAGGTTGCCGCGGCTGTGAGCTCGTGTGCCGGCGTGCTCCACTTTTGGGCGGAGTGGTGCGGTCCGGCCAAGCAGATGAGCGCCATCTTCGCCGAACTCGCCCGTGCCAACCCCACCATTACCTTTGTAGAGGTAAGCTCTCCCCCGCCCCTCGGCCTTGCCCTTCGTGAGATATGCATGCCCCCGCCCACGACTGAAATGCTGGATGGAATGGAATGGTGATTGCGCGTAGGTGGAGGCTGAGAAGTTGCCCGAGGTCGCCGAGCGCTATGACGTCAAGGCCGTGCCCTACTTCGTCTTCCTCCTCGTACGTGCTGCATGCTCCTCGGCCGCGGTGGTGCTGCGCGTGGGGCGAAAAGAAGACGACGAAGAAGAATGACTGAACGACGACGTACGGCGCATGTGGTGGTGGGTGATGGAACACACCACAGGGCGGCAAGGTGAAGGAGTCGGTCGAGGGCGCCAACCCGCCCGAGGTGGTGCGCGCCGTGCGCGAACTCGCCGCGGCGGCAGCATCGGGCAGCACCGCCACCGCCGTCAAGGCGGCCTCCGCGCCCCAGGCCGCTGCCACCAGCGCCGCTGCCGCCTCTCCGGAGGACGTCCAGGCCCGGCTCACCAAGCTCACCTCCTTCGCTCCCGTCATGCTCTTCATGAAGGGTCCGCACACTTCTCTCTCCCCACAGCGCAGGCAAACTCATGATAATGATAATGATAACGTTGATGTTGTTGATGTTGTTGATGTTGATGATGCAGGCACGCCTGAGGCGCCCAAGTGCGGCTTCAGCAGGAAGATTGTGGAGATACTCAACCAGGAGCACGTCCGGTTCGGCTCCTTTGACATCCTGAGCGACAACGAGGTGCGGGAGGGGCTCAAGAAGCTGAGCAACTGGCCCACCTACCCGCAGCTCTACGTCAACGGCAAGCTCATTGGCGGCCTCGACATCGTCAAGGAGCTCCACGAGGAGGGCGAGTTCCCCTCCGTCTTCCCCAAGCAGGTGCGCGCCTCCCTCCCCCGCGCTTCGCACGTTGTTGTGCGCACACTGGTGAATAGTAGCTTACGTTTACTTGCACAACCACACGCGCCATCGCACGCATCAGGAGGACGACCTGAACACGCGGCTGCAGAAGCTCATCAGCCAGGCGCCTGTCGTGCTCTTCATGAAGGGCAGCCCTGACGCCCCTCGCTGCGGCTTCTCCAATAAGTGCGCATCACCACCTTCCTCCTCCTCCCTCCGTGTTGCGTCATGTGCTATGTGGGCTCATCGGTAATGGTGTGTGTGTGTGTGTGTGTGGGCACCACAGGACGGTGGCCCTGTTGCAGGGCGCTGGGATCAAGTTCGCGCACTTTGACATCCTGAGCGACAGCGAGGTGCGGGAGGGGCTCAAGAAGTACAGCAACTGGCCCACCTACCCGCAACTCTACGTGAGTGGCAAGCTCGTCGGCGGCCTTGACATCATCAAGGAAATGCACGAAGAGGGTGAACTCCTCGCCGTCATCCCGCCCGAGGCCAAATAATAACTTGCCGGGAGCAAAGTAATGATGTACCGTGTGGAGTAAGGAGCTAGCCACAATAACTTCTAAGTTCTAACTCCTTTCTGGCGACTTTTACAAAGTGCTAATAAATCCTCGCACCTGAATGGCTGTGCGCCGGTTGGTTTCTCCTGAGAAAGGACCATAAATGGAGGGGCGGCTTGTACAACAAACTGTTGCAAGGGAAAAAGGGCAGATGAACAAGCAGACAAGTTTATGGCAAAATATAGGATCAGGGGAGAAAAAGGAAAACTTGATGGCTCATAACTGCTCTGTAGTGGGGAAGAGGTGCTGATGGTGAGGAAAAAAAGTGTGAGTAGAGTGGTGAAATGTATTATGGAATACAAACTGCTTACCTATGTATTGGAAAGTAGCCACTGGCTAAGGAAGTTGTTGACTTCCTCCAAAGCTGGTTTGAAGGATGAAGGGCGAAGTCTGGGTGTTAGGGAAGTGTCCTGTGGACTATCATCAGGGTGCTGGAGAGCTTCCTTCATTGTAAAGCTTTTTTTGGCTGAGGTTTGATGAACAAGAGAGCATCTGAACCAACCCTCTTGCCTCTCTGAGCTGTTCTTTGTAGTCATTGTTTGCAGTGAAGGTAAGTATTCCAGAATACTGCCCTGTTTGTCTTGTTGAGTACATTCTCTGTTCTGACTGGCTTTTTTCTGCAGAGGAGTGTGACCAGATCATGAACTGCAAGGAATCAGCCACATGTAAAATTTGCTGCTTTGCCCAGGATCACTTGCTGTGGGTTGCTGGTGGCAACCACAGGTGGGAGGTGTACCTGCGCCTGAACAGTGAGGGAGTGCTGGACCCTGGGAATCACTGGTTGTGCTGTCTCACCACTCTCTACTGGTGGCTGGACTTCAGCCCCAAGACCATGCAAGAGGTCACCCTTCTTGCTGACTGCCAGAATGTCAACAGCTCACTCTGCAGTGAGATGTTTTTCTGCAACAAGGTGAAGTCCCCTTTCTTTCTTTTTTTTGTGTTTTATGCACTAACTTTGCTTCCACAGCTTGCCATCAGCTGAGCGCAATACCAATGTCAGCCTCAGAAGTCAACCAGCCAGCTTGACCTTCAACATGGCGACTTCAAGGGTTGCCACAAGTGAATAATAATAATGATAGTACTAACGCCACTCTATTGCGGTAAGGGTACATGCGGGTGGTCACTGCACGCCGAGCAGTTTCTTGTACTGCTCATAGGCGGTGAAGGTGAGGGACGCTGCTGGCATCAAATACATCAATCGCGGACCTGCGGACGACGACCACCAGCCACCAGCCGCCACCAGCAGCCACGGCACGCCAAAGGTCAGCACAATCGAATCGGCGGCAGCGGCGGCAGCGGCGGCAGCAGCAGCAGCCAACGGCTCGAGGGCACCCAGTGGGTGTGGCGCGTTGGAGGGGTGCTGGCGGCGTGAAGCCGGTGTCCTCGCCGTGTGGGTGGGGTGTTTGTGCCTCCTCCTCCTCCTTTCAGGTGGGAGAGGAGTGGAGAGGAGTGCCCAAGGCGTACCCAAGCCGCGGGTGAGTCCGCGAGGTCCCTCCTCCTGCAGGATGACCCGGAAGGTGGACAGGATGCCCTTGTAGCGCTCCCTCTCCTGCCACGCCACACGCCACACGCCACACGCCACACGCCAGCGACGACGACGACGACGGAACGGTTCACGCGCCCGTATGTGAGCTTCCGGGGATCACCGGTGTTTGGCCACCGCACGACCGCCAACGGGGAGCGCGCACCTCAGGAGGAAGAGTGGCGAGGGTCTGTAGGCGGGTCTTGACGACGTCGAACGGGATGGTGCACGTCGCCGCGCAGCCGCCGGCCAGCGCCCCGGCCAGCAGATGGTTGTAGGCGTGCTCCCCGTCCTGCCCGCGCCGCGGATGAGGGGAGTGGTCACAACGCGAGCAGCTCCTCTCAGTCTCTCTCTCCCCCCCAATGGATGGGCACGTGTGTGTGGGCGGCGGGAAATGGCCTGGGGGGGAGGTTTGGAGGGTTGGGGGGGGCACACCTTCATGTAGAGCACCTGGGCCTGCTTGGACAGCTCGTAGGTGAGGAAGTAGACCATCGCAAACGGCACGTCCCGCATTGCGGCGATCGTATAGCCTGCTCGCACCCCCGCATGGATAAGAGAGAGAGAGAGAGAGAGAGAGAGAGGTACCTCTATCTATATCTATAGAGAGAGAGAGAGTGGCGTGGCGCATGTGGATGCGGTGTCGTGTGATGTGTCGTGTGCGGAGCACCTGCCCACAGCCCGCGCCAGCCTTCGGTCTTGATGAGCAGCCGCAGCGCCGCAAAAGTGCCCAATCCCTGTTCGCCGCGACCACACACACCCGCATGGCATCCGCCGTAAGGCATCCCCCCCAAATGTGTGGTCAATAATGGCGGCGGGGGGGGGCGCGGGTACGGGGGCGGCGCGGGCAGGGAGGAGAGGAAGGAGAGGAGGCGAGGCCACGTGCACGCCACCTTGTACTGAGAGCGGAGGAGGCTGCCCTGCACCTGCAGCCGCTGTCGCAGGATGTCAAACGGCGTCCGGCACGCGGTACCCAGCAGGCGTGCGAGGCCACCTGACGCACAGGCCGCCGCCGCCGCCGCCGGTATCATCAGTGGGCGTTAACATACACAATCCGCAGACCAGTGCGCGCGGGCGCCGTCGTGTGGGTGCCTCCGCACCGGCAGCCGCACAACGGACTGCAGCGGCACATCCACACTAGTGGCTACCCCAGCGCTGGGAGAGATTGGGGGAGGGAGGGAGGGCAAGTACCGGCGATGAGGGGCACGGCCGGGTGCTTGAATATGAAGTTGTTGTGGTTGGTCCTGTCACCCGTGGTATACATCTTGAGGAGGGCCTTGAATTGTTCGTAGAACATGAAGGAGATGGCCGCCGCCGGTGTTATGTACCTGCGGACCCCACCCAACAAGTGTGACACCCAGTTCCAGACGACGACGACGACGTCAGGATTCTACGAATAAACAAGCAAAACTGGTTAAAACAAACAAAAAAATTGTTCACTACTGGAGGGCCACGTGGTGCCTCTGAGGCGCCCAATCCTGTGTGGGGAGAGGTGAGGAGAGAGGAGGAGGGGAGCACACATGAGGCGCGGCGGGAGACCCTTGAAGAAGCCCAGCACGCCTTCTTCCTTGAGGATGGTCACCAGGGCGTGCCGCGCGCCTTCGTACCTGGAGCCAGGAAGGGGCGCGTATCCTGATGGTGAGCAGCGCATGGCAACGTTAACCACCACCCATTCGTATGGGTGATGCAGACGTGACACACGCGACACACGACTCACAGGCACGCGACGAGTTCATTCACAACTCACACACGGCACACGCACACGCGCACGGCACGATAGAAACATCACACACGCCTCGTTGATAAGGGAGGTGGGCAGCACGTACTGGCGAACGGACTTGAATCGGCCCTGGAACTGGAGTCTCGTCTTGATGGTGTCTGCAGGCGGGCGGGCAGTGGGTTAACACCCCCCCCCCGAGTGATCCGCGCAGTGGTGAGAAGCAATGGCGGGCGTGTGCCGCGCGTGCTCGGGGCAGGTGCGGAACACAGAAGGGGACGTACCGATGGGCGACATTAGCACGGCTGCCGTCACGCGAGCAGAGGCGCCTGCCGCAAAGTATCGCCCGAGGCGGCGCCAATCGGCTTGTCCGCCCAGCTTCTCCCTGTCTGCCCCCAGTGCGCACAGGAAAAACCAAAAATCATTTAAAATGTATATATCAAAGTATAAATTAAATTGTCATGCCGTGTTGAGCGCTGTTGTACCTTTGTTCATCGCGCCGGGGCTCTCCTTCCTTTTGTGTTTTGCGGCCGCCCCAAGTGCAGGCCTTTGACCCCGGCGTGATCTAGATGGGGTCCAATCTGTGCTGCTGGAGTAAAAACAAAGAAATTGGACAGGAAATGTTGTATCCTGGCGTTGTTTCTTGTTTACTCTTCCTGCTCTTGCGGGCCAACAGTTACAGGCCTTGTGTGGAAACTCTGGTAGCCAGACCAATTCACACCACCAATACACTCTTTCAAGGGACCAGGAGTGTGAACATCCCCTCCCCAGATATACCTCGGCACGAAATACACTTCGCGCCACATCCGGATGTCGGCGCCCCCGAGGCGCCCCCCGCCCAGCCCGGGAGGCTGTTCGGGCTCCCACTCCACCATCATCCTCACCACCACCACCTCGATCGGCTCCAACACCACGACCAGTAGTGTTAGTGGCGGCGGCGGCCCAGCTGTCGCTTCGCCCCCCCTGATCATCACCAAACCTCTGCCCATCCCTCCCGCTCAACGGCGAGGCGCCACGACTGCTATCATGGGACATCCTCGCCCACGTCGTCGTCGTCGTCCTCGTCGTCGTCGTCGTCTTTGTCCCACTCCTCGTCGGCTTTGCCGGCCGTGGCCAGAGGGGCCGGCGAGCACCACCAGCAGTTGCCCACGTGGCGGTCCCCCGTCTCACCTTTCCTGGGCCATCCGGCGGCGTCCTCGTCGTCTTCGGCTCGCACGTCCCCGCGCCCTGCGCTGCCCTCCCCCTCGTCATCCTCCTCCTCCTCCTCCTCCTCTTCGTCGTCATCCTCTTCCGCCGAGGACAGGCAGTTCCGGCGCAGCCTCCCGGTGCTGGCCCGCTCCCCGCGTGGCCCTCAATCACCAGCTGCTGCTGGTGGTGCTGCTGGTGCTGCGGGTGGTGGCGAGGCCTGCGGCAGCAGCACGACGGGCGGCAGCTCGCCGCGCACTCCCTCGTCGTCGTTCGCCGCCCTCCTGGGCGTCTTCTCCAACGGCGGGCAGGCCACACCCGCACGATCCCCTCTCCCCGAGCTGCGGTCCCCTCGCCACTCGCTCGTGGCGCCACTCACCCGACCCGCGCACCTGCCGCCCGGCCCCACCACACAGCCACCAACGTTGCAGCAGCCGCCCCTCGTGCCGGCGCCAACGTTCGCCCACCACCACCACCACAGCCCCAAGGGAGTCCCCTCCCCACCGGTACGTGGGCTCCTCCGCCGTTGCTGCAAAGCTCCGCAAGAACCAAACAACTAACGGTCGCGTGTCTGCCCCCCCCCCACACTACTCGCGGCACACGCGCACGTGAGCAGACGACGCGGTCCCACGCCCTCGGGAGGCTGCCGGCACCAGTGACGCCCGCTCGAGACCGGTCTTCTACCGCCCCCGCAGGTACCGGTACCTCCTCCCACCCCAACACCACCGAGAGGCGGTAGGGCTCAACTCCCGTGCCCTCCGGTGGCTATGGTGGTGGGCGGTGGTGGTGCAGAATGGGAGCGAGCGTCAGCCATCGGCCCCGCGGCGGCCGCAGCGCCCCTGCTCAACAACAGCGCCGCCCCGAACTCGCCCCCGCGAAGAGAGAGGAGCGCGGCGATGGCGCCGTTCGACACGAAAGAAGACCGCACGTCGCCAAAGCAACGTTGCGAGGTCGAAGGTGAACCCGTTGTAGCCCACGTGGCGGCCGCCGCCGCCGCGGTGGTGGGTCCGGACAGCGACGCGGATGTACCCGAGAAGGAGCACACGTCGGCCGGCGAACCAGAACCGCCGTCGGAACCGGTGTGTCCTGTCAACCACCAGCGGAAAGTGGTGGGGGAGGTCAATAGTCACGGGCGCGAAGCTGAAGCAGAGGCTCCTACCCCCGCCACAGCCGATGATGATGCTGCTGCTGCTACTGCAGTACCATCACCACCATCACCGCGATCACCATCACCATCACTAGCACCAGTGGCCGTTACCGATGCAGCTGCCCCGGACGAGGGCGCCAGCCATCAGCAGCTCGAAGCAGAGGCCACGGCCGAGACAGACGCCGTGGTGGTGGTGGAAGCGGCGGCGGGACCCGGGCTGGGCGAGTGGCAGGGGAGGAGAGACGAGGACGAGGTGTACAGCAGGGAGGACGGGTCGTTCCGGCGCGCCGACGGCACCTACGGCCACTGGGGCACCGACGGACACTACTACTACGTGGGCTTCTGGGGCGAGGACGGCCAGTACCACGAGGGCTACCGAGACAGCGACAACGTCTACTGGGAGGGTATACGCGACACACACGACACACACACCACACACACCCGACCTGCTTGACACACTCACGCACACGCACACGCACACGCACGCACGCACACACACACACACACACACACACACACACACACACACACACACACACACACATGCGCACGCACGCACACGCACTCACTACACGCACACCACACGCATATTCCATCACACCTGTTTTCCCGTTGGAGATTCCCCTGCTGACCAGAGCTGGCGGCGGCGGCGGCGGCGGCGGTACTAGGCTATTGGACGGACGACGGGCAGTGGGTGGACCTGTCGGCGGCCACCCCCACCAACAACCCGGCGCTGAGTTCGCTGTACTCGTCGATCCTCAACATCCAGCCGGACGACGACGACGACAAGCAGGACACCTCCGCGACCACCGCCGTGGTGCCTCCTGCGGCGGGGACGGCGGCGGGGGCGGCGGAGGCCAAGCCGGTACTGACCCTTGCTTGGGTCGCCACGACCAGATGTGGAAGCCTCATTTCCCTCCCTGTGCTGCACGTGGTGGGCGTGTGGCGTGCGTGTGCGGCGATGGCAGGACCCCGACGAAGGGCTGACGCAGGAGGAGAAGGAGGAGGCCCAGCGGGTGAAGATGCAGAAGCACGTCACCAACGAGATCCTCGCCACAGAGAGGGCTTACGTGAAGGATCTCGCCTTTGTCGTCGAGGTGCCGCTCTCCCTCCCTCCCCCTCCCATCCCATCTCATGCCGCTCCCGCTTCAAGTTGCTGCTGACCGCCCGGGTTCTTCCTCTTGTGTCTTCTTGTGTGTCGTCGTCGTGTCGTGCGTGTCTCTTCTTCGGTCGTTCCCTCGGCGCAGCGGTTCCAACGGCCCATGGTGCGGCTGGGCATCATCGACGCGGCACAAAGCGGCAGCCTCTTCTCCAACCTGCACCTCCTCAAGGGCGTCAACGAGTCCCTGCTGGCGGCCCTCGAGAAGCACGACGCCGGCCAGTCCAGCATGGGCATTGGTGCCATCTTCTCCGAAGTGGTACGCAGCCCCGCCGCCGCCGCCCGATGGATCTTTCCATGGGGGGCATGCAGACTGGGATGGACTCAGTATGCACTACTTACATCCCTGTTGTGTGTGTGTGTGTTGTGTGTGTCGTGTGCGTGCGTGCGTGCGTGCGTGCGGTGTGTGCACGCATAGACCCCCTACTTCAAGATGTACTCGCAGTATATCAACAACATTGACAAGCAGGAGCGGCTCTACAACCACTTGTACAAGGCCAACAGCAACTTCCGGGTGCTCTGCGACTCAGTTCGTGCGCTGCCAGAGAGCAAGCACCTCGACCTGCCCGCCTACCTCGCCAAGGTACTACACGCACCCCTCAACAGCTCCACACGCGGGAGCCCCATCTATGCTCTTCTATCTTTCTCTTGCTTTGAAAGGGTGGTGGGTACCCCCCCGTACTCATCGCTTCATTATCATTGCCACCGCCGGCGGCGGCCTGTATTGACATTTTTCGCGTTCGCGCGGATGGGCGGGTACGTGCGCAGCCCATGCAGCGCATCTGTAAATACCCTCTTTTGTTTCGCGAGCTGGTGCGGTTCACCCTCCCGACTTCCCCCGAACGCAAGCAGCTCGAAGAGGTCACACCCCCCTCCCCCTCTGCCCCCGCCCTGTCTACACTCCAAATCCATGCGTGTGCAGCAGCAGCCGCCCTGCTGGTGGCGATGGTGGTGACGGTGGAGGCGTATGTATGTGCGCGCAGGTGTGCGCTACGGTGGCAGCGGTGGCGCAGCACATCAACGAGATGAAGGCCAAGGCGGAGGACCAGCAGAAGCTCGCGCAGCTCCTTTCCCGCCTCGACGGGGTACGATGCCCATCCCCATTCGCTCTCCTGGCTCTTCTCCTCCTCCACCGCCCACCATGGCATGGATGGATGGATGGATGGATAGATGGATGACTGACGGGGCGGCCGGTGGGGCTCGGTGTGTGTGCGCGCGCAGTCCGCGTTGGCGCTGGTGACGGCGACGCGTAGGTACCTGCAGGAGGGGTCGTTCGTGGTTCGGTACAACGAAAGTTCGGCGGGCAAGAAGAGCTATCTCTTCCTCTTCTCCGACGCCATCCTCCTGGGCTCGCCCGCAGGCGGCCTCTCCTCCAAGATCAAGCCCAAGCGGTTCTTCATCCTTGGTAGAGCACACGCCCGCCTCTACCAAACCCCCCCTGCCTGCCCATCTCGTCGCTGACACGACCAACGACACGCACACGCACACGCACACGCGACGTGCGCCAACAGACGACCAGGTGGAGGTGGTGGACGTGACATTGGACAGCGAGCACATCTTCGAGATCGGTAATCAGTCCCTGCCACCCTCCATTTTTCCCCTTGCGCGCGGGAGGGACAGAAGCGATGGCTGACAAACAACAAACGTGCGCGCGTGCATCCATGCGTGGATCCCTCAACCGTATATCTATCTATCTATCTATCGACGGATGTATGTAGTCGACCAGAATCCGCGGGTGCCGGATGTGGCGCGCGTGTGGGCGGAGAGCAGAAGGACCAGTGGGTGCAGTCGATCCGCAAGGTGCTCACGCGATTCCAGGAGGGCACCGAGTCCAAGGCCCTCAACCTGCGGCCCCTCGTCACCACCGTACGCGCCTCCACGGATCCTATCCCATCGGTCGTGTGCTCTCCTCATCTCCATGCTGTGTGTCGTGTCGTTGGTCGTGTCGTTGGTCGTTGGTCGTGTTGTGTGCGTCTTGTGTTGGGCGGTGCTACAGCCACGAACCACGCGGGCAGCTACGCAAGGACCCTCCCCGCGCGACGAAAAGGGAGCCAGCGGCGGGAAGATGAGGTCGTTCATCGTGGGGCTGGACCGCGGCCACAAGCTAAAACGCTCGGCCACGGCCGCCCCGCCCGTGGAGGCCCCCTCCACCTCGTCGGTGGCGGTCCCTCTCCCGCCCGTGGCAGCTATCCCGCCCCCGCTGACTGCGGCCGGCGTGCCGCTCTCGCTGGCCTCGTTCCCCTTCCCCCCGCTCCAGCCCCGCTCCCACCACTCTCGCCAGGTGCCGGGCATCCGTCGACCAGCCCCGCGCCCGCCGCCGCAGGCGCCCTTTGTTCCGCAGCGCCCACCGCCGCAGCCGCCTTCGGCGTCCACTTTCTCGCCCGCCACCTCCGTGGCCGCCAGCGCTTCGGCGACGCCTTCGGCCCAGCCCACGAGTGCGACAACGCCACCACCTTCGCCGCCCTTGTCGACCACCGGAGGCACTGCGTCTGGTGGTGGCCTGCTCATCAGCGAGCTCCACGCCAAGCTGGGACAAACAAGGCAGAACCAATAATGAAGCAATGTAAGCATTTATCCTCTCTCTCTCTCTTTGCGAGTGATGTGTCAATGTGGCTGTTCGACTAGTCATGTTGGGCGGAACCAGCAGCGGGCAGGAGCTGTTTGGGGATATCGGGGACACCAGGTCGGAGCTGCTGCTGCTGCTGCTGTTGTCGATCTTCGGAGAGGTCGATGTCGTCCATCTCTCGTTCGTCCCGCGACACCGCGGGGGGTACGGAGGGCGACGCGTGGGCTGGCGAAGGCACGGACGACGCCGACAGTGACGATGACGTGGAGAGCGACCGCACGAACGAAGGAGCCAGGAGAAACACGGAGGGGGAGGACGAGCCAGATGTGCGATGTAGGGAGGAGAGCGCCGGCGAGGCGGACGATGGCGGAGGGCTGGGCGAGGAACGATGATAACTCGGGGTCAGCGACCCGAGGGCGCGCAACGCGGCCAGGTCGTGGTGCGCCCTCCACGGCCGCGTGTGCGATCGCGACGACGACGAAGAGCGAAGAGACGACTGGGGCGGGAGGGGCAGCGACGAGAACGAAGACGAATGAGGCGTCGACACGAAGAGCGAAGACGTGGACGAGGCCAGCGACGAGGCGCCGGTGGAGGGCGACGCGGGAGCCGGGGCGGCGGACAGGGGCGCGGTGATGCTCTCCAGCGACTTCTGCTCGGCGTCAACGCCGATCACGGTCTCCACGATGGCGGCCACGAGCATGAGCGCGGCGGCCAACACGTAGCCGTAGAAGATGTTCTCCGCCCGGCCCGTCTCCAGCAGCCAGCCGAACAGCAGCGGAGCCGCCACCCCGCCCAGCCCCGTCCCTGTGCGGCCGAGACGTCAGTCTCTCGCCACACAACACACGCGACACACGCGACGGGGGAATGTCGCCATCCTTCGTACCGACGGAGTAGAAGAAGGAGATGGCGAGAGCGCGTATCTCGAGGGGGAAGATTTCGCTGACGGTCAAGTAGGCCGCGCTGGCCGCCGGCGACGAGAAGAAGAACACGACCGACCACAGCACCGCCTGCACCAGGGCCCCGATCATGCCTCCGGCGAACAACCAGCCTGGAACACGCACGCACACGCACGCGGCCGGGCGTCGGTGATCGACACATCAGCAACTGCAGCGGTACGGCGGCGCCGGCGGTAGCTGGGCAGCGGAGGAAAGGAGGGGTACCGGTGATGATGAGGAGGACGGCGGAGAGGGAGTAGGTGAGGGCGATCATCTGGCGGCGTCCGATGGTGTCGAAGAGCGGGCCGAGGGTGATGGGACCCAGGAAGTTGCCGATGGCGAACGGCACCAGGTACAGCCCCACCTTCTCGCTCGCCACCCCGTAGAATTCTGCCCGCGACACACAGCGCGTGAGCTCACGCGCAGATGAAGAACGCAAGAGCAAGAGAGATCGCACAGCGCACCGACGAGGATGATGGCGTAGGAGAAGAAGATGGCGTTGTAGAAGAAGGCCTGGGCCACCATGAGGCTAAGGCCGAGCACTGTATGTCGCGGGTAGCGCAGGAAGATGGCGCCCACGACCTCGCGCAGGGGCGTGGAGCGGCGCGGCACGATCGCGATCACGTGGCCCTCTTTCTCGCCCTCCTCCTCGTCCACCGCGTCGTACTCGTTGGAGGATACGTCGTAGCCCCTTTTTGTTGGTTGTTGTTGTTGTTGTTGTTGTTGTTGTTGTTGTTGTTGTTGTTTGCATTATTGCAATCATGTCAATCCACAATCAATTAAAACGTGAGACCCAACTGGAATAACAAGGGCTGGCCAATGGGGTGGGAGGTGCGCACCCGCTGCTGCTGGCGTGGGTGGCGACGGGGCTGTGGCGCGGCGAGGAGAGGGAGAGGAAGCAGGAGGCGAGGAAGGCCGGCAGGCGCGCACCGAGGGCGGCGTTCCAGCGGACCGCCTTGGCCTCCATGTCGCTCACCACCCGCTCGGCCTCGTCCATGCGCCCTGCCGCCACGCCCAGCATCGGCACCAGCATCAGCGCCAGCACCAGAGGAGGCGTAGTACTACTCGCCCGTAGCAGCAGCTGCAGCAGCGGAAGAGATGGTGAGTGGTGTACACACCGCGGGTCATGAGCCAGCGGGGGCTTTCGGGGAGGGCCAGGCGGAGGAGCACGATCACCACCCCGAGCAACGCACCCAGCCCTGGACCACACACGACACACACGACACACACGACACACACGACACACACGACACACACGACACAATGCGGTTCAGTGTCAAGTTGGTGGCGCGGTGATCATGCGGTGTTGGCAGCGAGGGAGGTACCGAACATGAATCGCCAGCCAAAGTCGGCTGAGCCCAGGAAGTGCGGGTCCAGGATGAGCAGCGATATCGCCGCCGCCAGGGCCGCACCTGCACCCCGCAACACCACCACCACCACCACCACCCACCACCCACGACGGCGACGACGACGACGACGACGACCACCACCACATATGCATGCTAGGATGAGCAAAAAGGTCTCGACGATATGCGTAAATGAGTAGGGGGGCAAAAGGAAGTTCGGAATTCGTCTGCACGATAGTCACTCTATCCAAATGTAAAGTATAGAAACATGGATATAAATATATGAAGTATAGATATATATATATGTAGGTAGGTAGGTATACCAAACCAGTAGGAGCCGTTGACGGCGAGGTCGACCCTGCCGCGCACCTTGGCCGGGATCAGTTCGTCGATCGCCGAATTCATGGCGCTGTACTCCCCGCCTTGCATCCCGACCAACCACATCCGCCACGCACGTGAGAAGAATTAATGGTGGCCGGTGGTTGACTGTCGAATTGAAGAAGGGGAGGGGAGGGGAGTACCCAATCCGGCTCCGGTGATGAAGCGCATGGCGGCAAAGCCGTAGAACTCCCAACAGAACGCGCTCAGGCCCGTCGCCACGGAATATACACTAGTCCACACGCGGCAAATAGGTTAACCGACCGAGCATGATTGGTGGTGCGCCGAAGTGTGCACTTGAATGAGATCTCAGGAGAGGGCCATGGACGGCGCGTCATGTCAAGCCACACGTAGGTAGGTAGGTAGGTAGGTAGGGAGGTAGGTAGGTACATGGGGGTGGCCAGGTAGAGCTTCTTGCGGCCGTAGCGGTCGCACAAGTACCCGAACACCACCGACCCCAATATGGCCCCTGCCACCACCAGCCACCAGCCGACGCGGGCAGGCAGGCCTCATAAGCGCGTGCATGCGATGGGGTGGCGGCTGCGGTCGGGGCGCGCGTTGTACCGAGGAGGGTGAGGGAGACGGTGAGGCCCACCTGCACGTCAGTGAGCCCGAGCGTGTCCTCCCGCTTGAGGTGCGCACTCAGCACCGACACCACCTGCGCGCGCGCGCGCGGCCAGCACATACGCGCACCGCCGCAACGCACAGTTTAGTTCCCACTCCCCACTTTGACGGAAGGGCACGGCGGGCAGTGGTGGTACGGTGACTTCGAGGCCATCGAGCATCCACGTGACGCCCAGGGACACCACCAGGAACCAATGGTATGCGCTGAACGGCAGTTGGTCCAGCCTACACACACCACACACACGACACACACACGATGGCGGTGATGCCAGGACGTCAGAGGAAGCACTATTACTATTACAATCATTGATAGCCGGCGACGATGTTGCTGCTGCTGACGACGGGGGCGGGGGTACCGGGAGGGGAGGTCGGTGTGAATGGTGGCGGTGGTGGTGCCCTGCTCGAATCCTTGCTCCTCCCACTCGTCCGCCACCTTCTCCACGAATGCCTGCTGCACTCCCCCCCCCACAGGCGGTTAGTCCCTCACACGTGGCTGAGTCGCGACAGCTTCGCCGCGCGTTCACACGTGCACACGTGCTGGAGCTGCAGACGTGCTGGTGGGTGGTGGGTGCTGCTGGCCGAGTGCCTACCCCGTGCTGGTGCTGCTGGTGGCCGTGGTCGTCGTGCTGGCCGTGGTCGTAGTGCTGGCCGTGGTCGTAGTGCCGGTGGCACCGGGCGGAGCCGTCGAGTGGCGGCCCTGAGCCCATGGAGTTGTAGTAGCGCCACGGCTGCCGCTTCATTGTGGGGAACCCCAACCTCGCACCCACCAAGTTGGCCTTTCCTCTTCTCTCTTCTCTTCTCCCTCGTTGTTGATAATAAGAGCTTTTGTGGGGAGCTGCCGAGCCACCACCGCGCAGCAGGTGAGCGGTGGACGATGGGTTGGCGATGGAAGTGAGGCAGGTTGGGGGGCTGGTTGCTCGCAGCTGTCTATCGCAAGGGAGGGGCTTGTGGCACAAAGGGGAGGAGGGACTGAGAGACATCAAGTGGCGTGCAACCCCCCTCCCAGGGGGGGCGTGGCAGCCATGGCGAGGGGTGTGGCGTATTCACACGGAAGTTCACAAGTATTGCATTAAAAAATATAAAATGAAAGTGCAGGGCAGACCTGCAGACCCAGTCTGAAAGGTGGAAGGGGAACTCCTCGATCTTGAGCTTGACTGCCTCGATCAGCTTGGCCACAACGCCTTGACTGGCCTCTCCTTGCTGGTGTGTGTCATGTGTGCATACAGGTGGAAGGCAGGGTGGGGTCCTGTGCATGGATAATGGGGATGAAAAATTTCAATCCACCCAAGCAGGAACAAAATGGGTGTGGTGCACAGCACCAACCATGGCACCTGTGGCAAAAAGACACAACACAACACAACACACATGACACATGACACATGTTGAGGGAGGTTGTGACTGACATAGAACCAATGGGATATGGGGAAGACAGTCACCTTGCCTTCAGGTCAAGCTTCTGGCCTTGTGGCGCCTTGTTGGTGGTCACCCACAATGTGCATGTGCAGAGATGATGCCTGTTCCACACAGCATAAAACTGGTTCTCAACTCATGCTCAACACCAAGCTAGAACCCAAGGATTTAAGCATCATCAGTATCAAAACCATGTGTTACATGTATTAGTAATTCCTATTATATCATTGTGTATGTGTACACAATGATTTAACTTCATTTTATGTGCATTTTATTTTGCCACTTTGTGCAGGCAACTTGTTGTGTACACAAACATGACAATCATGTCTAATATCACTTCATTGCAGGCAGACAATCTTGAACTGAGCTGGTGTCTTTTTTGGCTTGAGCTCCTTGAACACACAAAAACCAAGTGTTCATGAAAAAGGGTCAGGGACTCTTTTTTTAAGGTCAAAATGCACTTTTCTGTATGGAAAACTGTGCAAAAGTGCCATTTTTTCAGCTTTTTATGTGCAGATCCTGCAGAAAGAGAAATGGTTGAGTTTGAAATGCACAAATCAAGAGCTGTGTTGTTGTGCAAATCAGATTGGTCCATTGTGTGGCTGCTGGTTGGAGTCACACCAAAGACCTGGGGAGGGCATGGAGAAGGAGAGGTAGTAGTTCTCTAGCTTGAGAGGGTTGAACCTGACCTGGTTGATGGTGCTGAAATGGATAAGAAGGTATGTCTTGAAGTTGTTGTAGAGCCACCACCTTGATCTGCCCCAGCTGCTGGTCAGGGTCATGCTGAGAGTAATGGTGGTGTTCAGAAAGGTGCTGCTGATCTCTTGCATAGCCAGGTTGAGCACAGCAGCCCTCCTGCTGGACACCAGCAACAGTGCATGCTCCTTGAAATGCTCCAGCAGGACACAAGCAACAGTGCATGCTCCTTGAAATGCTCCAGCAGGTCCTTTTTTCCAAGCCAAACCTTGCAGAAGACAGCAATCCACTGCAAGATGAAGTTCTTCCTCCAGTCACTCTTCACCAATGACCTCCATCAGCTCTGCCCAGCTGTTCTTCTCAAGAAGCTCCATAGCTGCAGCGAGCACCTTCACACAGGCCTTTAATGATGCTGGCTTCCTGCTCCATGTCCTTCCATGAGTACTCACCCTTGTAGACCTTGAGGAGCAGAGCCTTCTTCAAAGTTACATCAAGCCCTTGATAGATTTTGAAGTGCATGATGGCATGGATGGGCTTGAGGTCAGGCATGTGCTCAGTTCCTGACAAGCTGTGCCCAGTGATGAGGGCTTCAACAATCTCATAGATGCCAAGCAATTGTGGACAACCTGGAACATGGGGTTGAGGCTCTGCACATTCAGACCAAGAGAGGTTGCAGTAAGGGTCTTGCCCTGGGAAGTCCTATTCTTATAGGGCGCTTTAGTATCGCTTATCGTTTCAGATTCCCCATCGCGCGGCGACGAACAACCAGGGGAGTGTGTGTATGTGCACCACCCCCACCACCATCGTCACCGTCATCAGGACCCGCCCAGGGCGAAGGGGTTGTGTGCCGCCAGTCGGGCCGGGTCGCACAGTTCGTTGGGCAACCCCGCCGCCCGCAGCAGCTGCGGCATGAGCTGCTCCTCCACCCTGGCCTGCTCCTCGCACTGGGCGGCCTCGGCGATCGGCTGTGCACCCACCCACCCGCACCCGCACGTGAACATTGGTCGACGCATCGATCGCCCACCGCCCACCGCCCACGGCTATGCCTGCCTGCGGGCAAGCATGGCCTGGTATATTTGGGGGGGGGAGGTACGGACCCGTCGTTCCCATCGCCGTAGGGTGTCCTCCACTTCGTTCAGGAGCGCCGCCACCGCTTCCCGATCCCCGTAGGCCGCCGTCACCGCCCTGCACCCACCCACCCCACCCCACGTGGTGCCGTGCGGCGGTTTCGAACCCGTCAGCGCTGCGTGCGTGCGTGCGTGTGCGTCTGTGTGTGGCGCAGCACGCACGTGAACAGAGAACGGTGGAGAGAACGCCGGAAGCCGAGGGCAGCGCCTTCCTGGAACCCGGCGTTGAAGCCGGCTTGCACCACGGCATCGTCCGACGTTTCGCCCACCCCCTCCCTGAACCCGGCCTACGCCCACCTCCCCCCCCCAAACACGTAACAACCCCGCCACGCGGCTGTGAGCGGCGATGCCGCCACGCGTTGACGCGGGAGGAGGGAGGCACACGGTGGTGTGGATGGCATGCAGCCGGTTGTAGTTCCTCTCCCCCATGTCCCGGTGGTAGGCCACGTCGGCGTCTTCCCCTCCTTCATGGCCGTCGAAGTCATCCTCCTCCATCCTTGCCTCACGCTCGATTATTTATTGATTTATTTCTCTTGCCGCAATCCCCCGCCCTGTTTTTTCCTGGCAGCAACAAGAGAAATTGGAGGAAAAAACAGGGCCTGTGCGCAGTTTTCGTGCACGATGGGGCGTGGCAGGTTCGCATAAAAGAAATTTTCGGCTCGCATCAAGGAGGAACGCATCTCAGCGCAGCAGAGCAGAGAAAGATTGTGGCACGACGACAGAGGACACCTCGCCTCGACCGCAGACAACCGGCTCCAGGGGCCCACTTCATCTCTGCTCACACTCACGCGGGGTGAGTGCAGCAGCTTACACACACACACTGAGAAGGGAACGAACGAGCAAACAAAAAGGAGAACACCACCACCATGGGGAATAGTCAGTCGCAGCAGCAGCAGCACTTCACGGCCAACGAGCTGCGTGCCCTGCTGGGGAAGGACAACCAATGGTACCGGCACCAGCAGCAGCACCCGCAGGTGGCCGAGGAGAACCTCTTCGACGACGATTTCGTGGCCAAGCAGTACCTCCACGAATTGGGCAGCTGCACCCACATCTACAAGGAGCAGGACCAGCTGCTCCAGAAACGCCTCGAGAGCTACGAGAAGGGCCTCAACCTCATGCTCTCGCTCGCGGTCACGCACAACCCGGGCTTCCAGGAGAAGGAGATGAGGTGGCTCAAGAAGGAGATGGAGCACCTCACCCAGTCCCCCACCAACGCCTTCGCCTCGGTCCTCGACAAGCGCCTGCTCCTCCTGCGCCACTACTACCTCGCCCTCATCCGCTTCGACCAGCGCCAGCACGTACGGCCACCAACCACCACCACCTCTCTCTCTCTGCAATGGGTGTCCATTTTATTTATTTATTTATCGAGTCATTTTTATTTATTTATTTATTTATGTGGCTGTGGCATAGCCAGGCACGAAAGCAGGTTTTTGCTCACTTTTGTTCTCTCCCTCTCTCCCTTTGTCTCGCACATGTGGGCAGTATCGGAAGCGTATCCCGGCGCCGCCCGCACCGCCCACCGTGGCCGGGGTGGAGCAGCCGGCAGCCGCTGCCGCCACGCGCAGGGTGGACCTCACCTCACTCCTGCGGCAGCGCCTGCGGCAGCGCCAGGCCCAGCGAGCATCGGCCGCTGCTGCCGCGGCACCAACGGTATTACCTCCCGGGTCGCCCCGCCCCGCCCCGTCCCGCCCCGCCAATTCTCGCGTCTGCTCTCTCCTCGCATACATCGGTCGAGTGGTGGAGAAGTGGCCCACCGTTGTGCGGTGTGTGGGGTTGTCGTTTTTCGCGTTTTTTCCGGTCGCTGTGGTGAGCTGGGGCGTGTCGACGTCTCATGTGGATGAGGGGGCGGGTGGCAGGGCGAGCCACAGGAGACGCCGGCGACGGGCGAGGCAGGACAATCGGGTGCGGAGCCGCCGGGTCCATCGTCGACGAGTGGCGCGGCGCAGAGTCCTCCTCCCGAGGTCCAGCAGCAGCAGCAGCAGCAGCTGGAGGAGGAGAGCGTGTCCCTGGCCGAGATAGGTTCGCTCATCGGACTCATGCTCGAGGAGGAAGGGCAGCAGCAGCAGCAGCAGCAGCAGCAGCAAGAGGAGGAGGAAGGGCAGCAAGCGGTGGCCGAAGCGGAGGGCACAGGAGCGGTGGCCGACGACGATGCCGACGACGAGGTGGAGCGCAAGGCCGAGGAGCAGCTTCGCCGCGAGGAGGAGCGCCGGAAGGCCGAAGAGGGAGAGGCCGCCCGGCCCAAGAGGAGCGACCAGGAAACCTTTGTGTGGAGCCTCTTCCAGGTACACATGTGTGCCCGCCTCTTCTCTCCCCTCCTCTTATTCCTCTCTCTATCTATCTATCTCGATCCCACTCTCTCACTCTCACTCTCACTCTCACTCTCGCCAACACTCGCTCGCAGGGCACGTTGGACGAGCCCCTGTTGGAGAGGGTGCTGGCGAGCCTACGGGAGCTGCCCGCGGGCGAGCAGCTGCTGTGCGTCGACCACCACGACAACGACTTTGACTGGAGCCGACCGCCACCCGAGGCCGGGGAACAGGCCGAGCAACGCGACGCCGACGCCAAAGATGAGAGCCTTGCGCCCTCAACTGAGTACGTACCCCCGCCCGCCCTTGGAACTCTCGCTTTTTCGTCGCCCATGCGCGCCACACGTGCTGACGGTCGGCCCGTCCACGCTGGACAGGACTTCGAAGGAGGTGCGGGAGTTTGAGGAGAGCCTGCTGTGCCACCTGGTGGGCCACCTCTTCGAGATCGAGCAGCAAACCATGGCCGACCTCCTCCACTCCGCCGCCGCCGCCGCCGCCAGAAATAGCGCCGTCGAGGACGAAGCCGAACAGCCGTCGGACAAACAGGACGTCGCACCTGCCACGACGACGCCATCGTCGCACACATCTGAACCACGGCACGTACCATCCTTGTTGCTTCTCTATGCTCTCTTATCTCTGCTCTCTCTCTCTGCTCTCTCTCTCTCTCGCCCCCCTCTTGTTGGGTGCTTCCAGGAGGCGTGTGTTGTTTGTCGCGTTCGTTGTTCGTCGGTGTTGTTCTCACATGATGATCTATTCGCATGTGGCCAGGCCTGCCATGCGTTTGGTGCAGATCCTGCAGAAGGACCTGCTGAAGGACGTCGCGTTCTCGCAGTATCAACAGAGCAGGCTCGCCGCCCAGCAGCAGCAGCCGCAGGCAACCCACGAGGAGCGGGCCAGCGCGGAAAAGGAGGCGCGCCTTCGCCTGCGCAACTTGGTCCACTACGCGCGCACGGTGATCGGCCATGCCACTCGCCTTCTCGATGCCGCGCTCGACACCACCGCACGCCTGGCCCTTCTCCGCGAGAAGGAGGAGCGGGAGCGCCTCGAGAAGGAGGAGCGCGAGAAGGGGGAGCTCGAAAAGCCGGAGGGCATGGACCACGTCGAAGAAGACGGCAAGGCCTCCTCCGCCACGGCGGCGGCGGCGGCGACGGCGGACCACCAGAACAACCAGCTCCCGCCGGCGACAAGGCGACCGCAAGGCGGCTCCGCGGCGACGCCGGCGGCTCCGGTGGATGAGCGAGTCCGAGAGGCTCTCGTGCAGGGCATCGTGCTGCGCATCGTGAGGCCTCTCGCCACCGCCCTCTGCCTGTTCCTCGACGACGCCCCCTCGGGGGGCGCCAACAGCCGCCTGCACCAGCACCTGGCCTCCTCTCTCCTGAGCCCCCTCGTCTCCCTCCTCAAGTCTCTGGGTACCGCTCCTCCTCCTCCTCCTCCCTCCCCCCGCTCGTGCTTCCCGCGGGTGGTGGCTGCTGGAGGTGTGCGACGTATTGGGGGGGGGAGCGGCACTGCGCTGACACAGCGCGTGCGTACGCACAGACGCGATCAACGCGAGGGCCGATGACGTGTCGGGCGCGGAGGTCGACTACCACGAGCGGGAGAACGCCAAGCTGCTCTTCAAGACCGTCGACCGGAAGAAGGTGGAGACGCCGCACAACTACTACCCCAACACCGACGAGGAGAAGGTGGTGCGCATCCCCGGTGCCACTCACCTGTGCGTCACCTTCGACGAGCGGTGCAACCTTGTACGTCCGCCCATCTGCCCACCCGTCTTTTTTCTATATATATATATAGAAGAGAGAATAGAGGGCAGTGCCCAGCGCGGCACCGCACGCAGGGTGCGATGATCATCGTCGATCATCAGCCTGCTCACATGGGTATGCGGCGCCCGCCCGGTCGTCTCTCGGTGGGTGGATGGTTGGGGGCGCGATGGGGGGGGGGCTTGGAATGCAGGAGAAGGACAGGGACTTCCTGCACTTGTACAGACGGCCGGGCAAGCAGCAGCCCATCTTCACTCCGTTCACGGGGCCTCCCAACGCGTGGCCCCGCATCCCCATCATCGTGCCGGGCGACACCGTCTGCTTCCACTTCACCTCCGACCCCTTCAACACGTACGTGCCACCCCTCTGCCCGAGTCACAGCACACTCGACTGGCCGAGTCCTCACCACGTGTGTTTCCTCTCTGCTCTCTGCTCTCTCTCTGCTCTCCTTCTATTGGTGTGTGTCGCGTATGTATGTACGTATGCATGTACGTGCGTGCGTGCGTGTGGTACACGATCCACAGCTACTGGGGGTACCGTTGTATCGTAACGGGGTTGACGTTGGAGAGCTCGGTGGTGCCGCTGTGGGACCTGGAGCGCACGGTGTCGTCGCTGGTGGGCCGATGCGTGAAGCACCTCCTCGTGGGACCTGCCCTGGGCAAGGCCGAGGCGGCCCTGGCCAGGTGGCTCGACTCGGACCTGCTCGCGGGGGGCCTCTTGGCATCGGCTGCTCCAGCCGACCACGACGTCGTCGACCTCGACCGCCTCCTCCGCGTGGACGTCTCGCGAGACAAAGAGGCCGAGCGGAGCGCTGCCGACGACGCGGAGCAGGAGGCCCAGGCCGCCAAAGAGGGGGACGAGGAGCTGGCCTGGCTGCTTGCGGAGGGCATGGCCGAGCAGGGGCGGGGCGCGGAGGGCGCCCCCGGCTACCGCCAGCTGTTCGCGCAAAAGAACCGGGAGCTGCCGGACATGTTTGACCGATTCGGCGGAGAGGTCATCGACGAGGCCATGCGCTGGTTTGTTGCTGCCGCTCTACGCCACCTCCGCCTGGTCGACGTCGCCCGCAAACAGGTCCAGCCTCCCCTCCCACCACTCGCGTTCTTGCTTCTTGCTTCTTCTTCTTTGCTTCCTCCTCCTCCTCCTCCTCCTCCTCCTCCTCGACGAATTGGCTGACCTCTACGCGGTGGAACTGGCGGCGTAGGAGAGGACGGAGGACGAGGAGAAGCTGCTGAGCGCGGTATGGCGGGAGGCCAAGAATCTGCGCAGGTGGGTTGTACAGGAGAAGCAGCGCATCGCCAACGAAATCAGCGAGATCGAGAGGCAGAAGGAGGAACAGGCCCAAGCCGCCGTCGCCGCCGCCGCCAACGTCAACGTTGTCTCGGGATCGACGTCCTCCAGCTCCACCGCGACTGGCGCCGCGGAGCCGCCGGCTCAGGCGCTCAGCGGCAGTGCATCGGCGGCGGTGGTGCCGGAGAAGAAACCTCCGGTGGATCGCACCACGTACGAGTACTTCCGCGACACGATGGTGGCCAAGCTGCGCGTGCTCCTCCTGCGTGTCCGCCCCTCGTCCGCTCAACACGTCCCCGCCCTGCTCTCCGCCATTGCAGGCACGCCGCCCACCTCCCCCTCTGCGCCGATCCCCCCCCCACCACCACTTGCTAATTGGCTGTCGTCTCTTGTGGTGGATGACGTATCGCGCCTTGTTGTCTCATTCCTCCTCCTCCTCCTCCCGTGTGCTGGTGGCTGGTGGCTGGTGGCTGGTGGATGTGGGTATGCATAGACTATGTGAAGCACACGCCCGAGGCGTCGCCCGTGCCGGTGCTGCTGCGCCGGGAGAGGCGGGCACACGCGAGGGCCAAAGCGCTGGAGACCATCCACGACCTGGTCCGCTCGCTCTCCCTGCTCTCCGCCAAGCAGGACGTCCTCCGCATCGCCGCGTGCGCCTGGCGGTACGACTCACACCACACGCCACACGCCACACGCCTCGCCTGGTTGGCAGCAGGCCCCCCCACTCACACTCACCCCCTCCCTCCCGGCAGATCGATTGAAGGCGTCGTGGCCTCGGCGGATGCCGCTGCAGCGCAAGCCAGTAGTCGGGGCAGCCACTATCTGAGCAACACAAGCGGGTGCGGGGAGGCCGTGAGGGAGCAGCTGCGTGGGAGCTTCAGCTCGCTCTACCAGTACCTCACCGCCCTGCTTGTGGCGCCCGGTCCTCATCCGACGGACATCATCACGTGCGGCCACGTCCTGAACTTCTGGTGCCTCAACTTCAAGCCGGAGGACCACCACTTCCTCACCCAAACCCACATCCTGGTACACCACCACCACCACCAGCAGCCGCCACCACCGCGTGCCACGCACGCGTCATTACAACCACCGCACCCCATTGGGGGAGGGGGGGAGTGAGTGCATGCTAACCCATGGGTTCGACGACGACGACGACGACGTGGTCGGTGGCAAACCAATTTCCAGGATATTTGCCACGACCTCATGACCACGTCGGGCAGCGGCGAGAACAAGGCGAGGCGTCGGCTGCGGGTGCTGGGGCGGTTGGCCTTCCGGTATCTGGCCATCCAGTGCCTGGCCCCCGGGGCTTCGCAGGCCGACCGCACCGCAGCCCAGCAGCACCTCCTGGAGACCATCGTCCAGGACCTCGAGCTCTCCATCAGCTTCCTCCACCAAAAGAGGCAGGACCTCGGCCGCGTCATGTCCTCCGGTGACATCGGTACACACCACCACCACGCCTTTCCTCTCTCCGTCTCTCTCCGTCTCTCTCTCTCTCTCTCTCTCTCGGTCGGTCGATTGTTTGATTGAGGAGGGAGCGGGGCGGTGTACATCAGGCGCGTCGGAGGAGGGCGACATCACGCCCGACACCGTGGCCTACCACAAGGAGGAGAAGTTCTGCTACGCCCAGCTGGTGCTGTTCCACACCGTCACGTCCCAGGAGACCCCCGCCAACGACGCCTTCCTCGCCACCTCCCGCATCATGCGCCTTCTCCTCTTCGTTCACTTTGCCGGTACCGGCCCACTCTCCCTCTTTTTTTCCGCCTTTGCGTCCTTGCGACGCGATGCACCTTTTACACGACACACACACACACACGACACACCCTCTTCCCCGCCTATACCAACTCTGGAGTGTTTTGGTTTTGGTTTGGTTTGGGTTGTTGGGGGGGGGTTGTGTGCGCAGGAACGCCCGAGCTGCAGAGGCTCGCGCTACGGATGCTGCGGCGCATCCTGCCGCTCGTGGACCCCGCCCTGTTCGACCGCTCGCCGGAGCTCCTGGACTTCGTGACCGCGGGCGATGCCGGAGATCTCATCCCCTTCGGCGTGTCCCCATTCGGCAACGACGACGACGACGACGGCCAAGAGAAGGGCAATGGCGACGAGCTGCCGGCGGCGGGCGCCGGAGTGACGAACGCGCTCGTGCGACATTTCTTCGGGCTGCTCGGGCAGCGCCTGTTCCTCGACGCCGGAGAGAAGACGGGCACGCTGCGGCACCGGCTCACGGCGTCGCACACGGCGTCGTTTGCGCACAACTTCAGAGACGGGCAGGTGGCCTTCATGGAGGGCGAGGAGGTCCTCATGCTCCTCCGCTCGCTCGTCGAGAGCAGCGCCTCGCCCCCCACGACGTCGTGGTCGGCCCTCATCACGGCCGCTGCCCGCAACGCCCTCCTCGCCCTGCCCGCCCTCGTCGAAGCCCAGCGCTTCGCCCTCATCCCTGACCTCTACCGCCGCCCCCGCCCCGTCTACCACACCCTCGCCGCCCTCTGCCTCCTCGGCGGCTGCGTCGAGGGCCTCCGCGTCGGCGGCCGCATCGAGGCACGTACCCCCGCACCCCACACCCCAAACACACCCACCCGCACACACACACACACACACACGCTCCCCCATCCCAAAATCACACACGCTCCCTCGCCCGTGGTTGGTTTTGGTGTGTGTGTGTGTGTGTGCGTTGGCCTGGGTGTGCGCACTGGTGGCGTTGTGGTGGCGTGGTGGTGGTGCTGACGCGCAGCCCTTCTTGCTTGACCTGCGCAGGTGACCTCGACGAGGGAGCTGGGCACGCTGGTCTTCTACGACCGGCGGTCGTCGCAGGCCAAGCTCATCCTGGACTCGAGCCCCGACAAGGTGATCGACGTGTACCCGGGCAAGATCCGCGCGCATCCCGAATTTAAAATCAACCCGGACCGCTTGCCCCTCACCAAGGTAGCACCACTACTCTCTGTACATCCGCCACGCCACGCCACGCCACGCCACGGCGCACCTTATTCCGGAGGGGGGGAGGGAGGGGGTGGCGCCCGCTCCGCTCCCCCGTCATCCGCTCTCCAACGTGGCGCCGACTGAATTTTCTCTTTTTTTCCTTTTTCTTTTCTTTGGTTGGTTACGTCGACCGCGCAGGATCTGTTGGACGCCCTGATCATCTTCGCCAAGGTGTCCGACAAGCGCGACGAGGAGCGGCGCCGGCTGAAGGAACAGAAGGAGAGGGCCGAGCGGGAGAAAAAAGAGCGCGAGGCACGCGAAGCGCGAGAGCGCCAGGAGCGCGAGGAGGAGGAAGAGCGGAAGCGGCAGGAGGCAGCGGCCGCCGCGACGCCTCCCGAATGGACGTGCGAGATGTGCACCCTCATCAACGAAATCAACGAGCCGGTACCCTCCCCTCCCC